CTTATGACATGTGGCGGACTGCATTGGACATATTTCATATGTCTTCCGTCTATTGGATGGTACACCAACCACGTGGTGTACCGGGAACACTCAAAAATTACTCAAATGGAGAAATGGTTTATAATCACGTGCCTTAATTAGAATACTTTTGTATTAATAAATCTCATTGCTTCATTTTTGTTCAAAATAGAGAGATATAATTAGCAATCTCATTTGTTCACATTCTCATGTGTTTATGCTTAAATTTGGTTTAACAACGGGATTACTTGTTCGAGATCAAGGAATTTTACCCGCTAACATGATCATATGGGACATAAATGGAAAGAAATTATAATAAAACATTGAGAACCTGCTCGAGTTTACACAGCAATATGAAAGCACATGTAGCCTATGTGGTCTTCAAAGATTTAATTGACTATTACAAACCATAGAATATTTACCAAGATAGTTTTATCATGAGCCAATACACATGTGGGTTAGCTACAACCACTGAGGGATTCATGAATTTTTTAGGGAAGGGGTAATATTTAAAAAGTAAAATTTAGGTCTATAACTAATTGACTATGTCTACATATCAATTAATATATGAACAAAATTCATGCCAATTTATACAATAATTATCAAAATTCATATTAAATCATCAAATAATCTAATCAAAATCAAAATCAAAATCAAATTATCAATTAAACAAATAAATCATAATTGATCATACCTCGCAAGTTGTGCGCTGTGCAACCTCTTCCTTCTCGAGTTTATTACTGATCATACTAATACAGAGAAAGCCAAATAAAAAAAATTAATAAAAAAAGACATTATTAAAAAAAACATGCGAAGAAAAAATACATTCAAAGTTGAAGTCTGAAGCAGCAAGAGCCTCCTCCTTCAAGGCCACGCCCACGCCAAGCTTCTTCAATGCTTTTCTTTAATGGGAATTTAAATCAAATTATTAGTCTTCTTCAAGAGTTATAGTTTGAACGCATCACTTAATTTCAACTTTGGCATGGTATCTTTCATGACTCTTCTGCGTATAAGGTAAAGCTGCTTTAGTTGTTTTTAGACCTCGTCCAAAATGACGTTGTTTTGGCTAGGATCTAAAAACAAAAGGGGATGCACATGCACGCGCTGCGCGTAGCAACCCATCCAAGAAGAGAAAGAAAGGTCGCTTGCTCAGTCATTTGTTCAAACAAGATCTAAAATATCGATGGTATCGGAAATATCGGAAGTCCAAAAACACGGAAATGTCGATGGAAATATCGGGATATTATCGGTATCGGTAAAAATTGAATAAAAACCACGGAAATTGTAAGAAAAACTTGGAAATTTTTATTGAAACTTTGCAGGATATTTATTTAGTCAATTATCTATTAGTTTATCACAAAAAATTGGAAGGAAATGCATTGCATGATGGATTTAACTGATTTAAGTTGATTATATAGCGAGCTGGCAAACACTGTAAGTGTAGAAAATATGTAGTAATTAATGAAAGAAGATTAAACACACCATAATCATTTATATATAATGAATTACTACAATATTTTACACTTTATACATTGCATGGTAAGATACATGAGTGACTTAGTACCACATAGAGTTCCTATGAGGTTCAAAATTTTCACTATCTTCATCATCTCTATGTGTAGAGTAAGTATATTTTGAAGAGTAGTCATCAAATGATAAATCCCCAAAATAGTTTCGCATGTAATTGTTAATATGTCACCCATATGGATCTGAGATTGGTTGACGTTGTCCATAAGCAAAATCATTTGAAGGAGTAAAATGGTTTTCACAAAAACCATGTATATAAATATTTTTGGGTTTCGTATCGCGATATTATTGGGATATTATCGATAATATCGCGATATATTGCCCAAATCATTCATAAAAATGTTGATATTATCGTCCCCGATATAATCGGGATAATATCGATAAAAATATCGATATATTGACTATAACACTATGGTTTGTTGGGAAAATATCGGCCCCCCAAAAATATGATATTATCGGGATAATATCGTCGATAATATCGACATTTAATACCTTGGTTGGCACCTCCAAGCCAAAGCAAATGGGCAATATTCGGCAACTCTAAAGCGTTTTCCGGCTAGGGGAGGTGCAATTGCACCTCATTGCGCCTCTTTGGGTCCAGCATTGACTACAACTAAATATCAAACTCATCACAAATATATATCGTCCTCTTATCCACAAGATTCAAATTTGAGACTTCCTTCAATCAAATAAAGAAAAATAGCTAGTTGCTATATAGTGATTGTTAATTGGTATAATGATCACACATACCCTACAGGGTTGAATTGACACATGAAAAGACAGGTTTGAATTGGAACATTTGAATTCACACAAATGTAAGCGAAAAGAAAATAACTAAACAAATATTTCCACCCACCTAAGGGATAGAGAAGTTAATTTACAAAGGGGTAAGTTTGTCTTTAAAGTTTTGAAGATAAGGTGAGTGGGAAAATAGAACATGAGGGTGGAAATAACAGCACTCTTATTTTATCATAATTTTTTTAAGTTAATTGGTTTCTTTGAAAACCATTTAGGGCTTAGATCATCGGAATTGTATTTTCTTTTCTTTTTCTTTGTCTGAAAAAGGTTAGTGCGCAGAGGAGAAAGCATGCATGCCTCCAAAATTATCGTATGTTCAGTTGCTTGTTTTAACACGAAATTTTGCAGTTAATTAATATCAAATGCACGTTTAAGTAGTCTCAAGAGCCAGCAGATAAGAAGACTTTGGTGGTCAACTAATTTCGGTTGGACTGGTCAACACTGAGGATCTTGATAACATTTGACTAGTTCTTTTGATCATGTGGTTTTAATAACATTTGTACCTTTCCTTATCAAGAATAATCTTCACCCAATTTTTTACATTATTGGAAATCAAAGTTGAGAGTAGGTATGGGCTTAATCAAGTTGGTTAGAGCGGATGTGTTCTCCACTTTGCACCCGATTTTAAATCTCCCTTTCCGTAGTTTAAATTAGTTTAAAGTAGATTAAACTCAGCTAACTAAGTTGTGTACAATAACTAATTAAGTTTAACTTAAACTTGTTAACCATGCATGCCATAAATCAGCATAGCTTACACGATGGGAAAGGAAAGAGTAGTTTAACTCGAAGCTTTCAAAACGTTTTCTTCAACCACTGAATTATATCGCGTATTGGCTGACATAATTCTTCTAACACGTAGATGAGGGAGAATAAAGAATTAAGTATCTGAAGAAGGAATAATAAAAATACACCATGTGTATCATATGCTATAAATATTAAACCCTAAAATAAATAAATAAAACATTATTGTTTCTTTTAACATTGCACATGCATTTTATAATATAATAACAATTATGAAACCCTAAAATGAATAAAACAAAAGTAAAAATGTCCCAGTTGTGGACTTTGAAAATGGAAAGTTGAAACAAGTGGGCATCTGGTTCTCTGTGCATTTGAAATGGCTTTAACGAGGAAACCACGTGTTTCATAGAGTAAACCTTGTTTTATTTAGAAATAGTAATGGCTATTTTGAATCCCTCTTGAGATCACAAATGACACAAAAAAACAATAAGGATGCAATCTGATAGTTTCGTAAATGTTAGGGATGTTTTGTGATATTAAGCATTCTACGTAAAGCAAACTTCTAAGATAACTATAAATGGCAAATCTTATTGGCATTCTTTGAATCCGTAATACAAACTCAAATAAAAAGTCTAAGTAATGCACGTCAGAACATGCAAGAATTCTCACCCATTTTTCAAAGGAAGGTTTTGTTGCAAAAATGTAAATCATGTTTTTAATCTCATTAACGAGCAAGTGGCCCAACTCCTATGTGTTATCGTTGGGTTTTACACATTTTCAAACTAATTTGCAATGGAAGGAATGACCCAACTCTTTATAAACCCTTACAAGATTTCTTAACTTTCAACGAGGGACATTTCTTCACATCCTCACATAATCGCCGCTCTACCCTATTTTTGCTTTTTAGTATACAACAAGAAAAAAGAAAAAAATATATATAAATCCACGATGATAAGAGTAAAAGAAAGAGAGTAAGAAAATCGATCACCCATCTTAATCTCAACTACAACAAGATTTTATATTTAAAAATAGGATTATTCGCAACAATGGTCCCTCAACTATATCCCAAGTTACAATTTGGTCACTCAACTCAAATATTAGTTGCAGAGGTCACTCAATTAGGTGTTTTGTTGCACCGTTAGTCCTACCGTCAAGTCTCTCTAACGGTAGGGACTAATTGTGCAACACAACACATACTTGAGTGACCAAAATGTAACTCCGAGTATAGTTGAGGGATCATTGCTACAAATAATCTTAACTGAAAAGTCACATTTGCCCATCAATAATCTGAGAGATACTTGCCACATCATCATTTTAAACAGAAAAAGTAACAAACTTGACGGTAGGACTAACGGTGCAACAAAACACCTAATTGAGTGACCTCTGCAACTAATATTTGAGTTGAGTGACCAAATTGTAACTTGGGATATAGTTGTGCGAATAACCCTTAAAAATAAATACATGATAATTATTCTCCGACCAAATAAATACATATGATAATTGTGATCCATGCCCATGTGTGCAACACGAACCTATAATAAGACAAGCAATGAGCCGTTGCTGGTGACGTGGAGCCTTAACCCTATTAGGCTGCAACGTCACCTGGATTCCAACATGCCACGCTCTCAAACTCTAAATTGCTGATAATTCGATTAATTTAGTTAATTATAAACTAATATAGTGCTAATTAAATTAAGTATCTGATAATTTCTGCACGTGACTAAAAAGGCACAGGATTCCCTTAATTATTGCACGCACTGCCATGAAACTTGAAGCTGCATCCTATATCATATTAAGCTTATATAAACCAGATGCCCTCCGAGTAAACTCTCTCCATTTAAATCGTTCATAAGAAACTCAAAACTTCGACCCACTCAATTTAAAATTACGTGTGTACTAGTTTATAGTGCAGAAACATGTACGGAGAGACAACCCTAGAACTAGAATCTGACTTGGCTTTTCTTGAGTCCATTCGCCACCATCTTCTTGATGATTTGGAGCCTCAGGCAGTGAGTTTTACCGGAAATAATGTCCCGGTGATTTTCCCTCTTTTCGCGATGGAGAATTGGTGGGAGTCGTCTCTTAAAGCCGAACACGTGGACAACGACGTGCAGGGCTTGCTTGGAGCTTTGAATGACGTAAATTACGTCGGATGTGTTGTGTCCGATGACAAGATTGAATTGAAGGAACAAAAAGTG